AACTTCAAATTTTCGAGGAAAAGTTTTAATGGAAATGACTTTTAATTTTTTTGCAAACTCTATTGTTTTAAATCAATATCGAAAACCACCTCTTTACCCCACAAAAGGTAGGGGTAATACCTCGTACCATATTTGTGAGATTTCATTGGATATATTATTATTGTTGTTTTCTTTTAATCAAATTGAAAAACTTTGAGTGCTTCCAAAAAATTAAAAATATTTTATTAATTCGATCTATGGGATCATTTTAGACGGGAAACATACCTAATGCACTATGGTTTTCTCGAAGGATGCAGTTGGATAGTGTTTACCCTAAAAATTGGATAACAATTTAAACTTATAATGTGATTTTAAGGATATGTGATTTCACCTAATACCAATTGATAAACGTAAAGATAAGTATTTTTAATTAAACCAATTAAACCAGCGTTTGGATAGAACCCTCGATCTTGAATACCCTCGAGCTAGTTATGCAAGAACAGTTAAAATGCAACAAGTTAATAAACAAGAGAATGTGAATTAAAGAGAGAATATTGTATTGCTTTAACCTGTGTGAATATAAGGTGTGTACAAGATGATTAGGACCCCCTTTATATAGTAGAGGAATCCTATTTAAGATACAATTCTAACTATGAAAGTAAATCCCATGATTAACTAGATAACCGCCCTTGATTTGATCTGTTCCGAGATTTACGCCACGATCTCCGGCCAGTCACGGATATCTCGCCTTTTCGTTATTACGCTTTGCTCGAAGTCTGTCGCTGTTGGCCTCGATCTCGGCAGGCACCTCGATCCTCAGACTCGATGCCTCGTCTTAGTGCTCTAGTCTGATTCATTACGAGGCTACCCCTCGATGCAGTTCCCTTGTCTCGATCAAATAGCATAACCGGGTAGGCCCAATTTTAACCGTATACAAATAGTCCCCTCGTTTCTTGGAATGTAATGAGAAGAAATGAATTAAGCCTTCGATTTTGTACCTCGATCCATCATGAAGTCATCCTTATGACGTAAGCGATCGAAACGTCCCGTCAGAATAGTTCCCAAATTATTAATGAGTGTCAATTGGCGGTCGGCCACTAGTGCCTTTGAACCGTCGCCGTGAATCCTTAAATAGGTCTTATTCTCAATTCCTCAAACTTTACTTTGGATTTTTCTAGTACTAATCTTCAAAATCTCTTTGTGTTCTTCAAGTCTATCTGTGAATCTTCAAAGCTTTTCACATCTTCTAAGCCTTCCCGTTCTGCTCCGTTACCAACCCTTCCTCAAAACACCAAACCTTATCCTCTTCTTTTTTCTTTATACAAAAATGGCAAAGACATCAAAAAATGTTCCTCAAAAAGAAAAGGCCTCTTCGCCGTGGCCGGCCGACGATAAAATGCTGGTGGACCCGCGCCTTGAGGAGTGTGTTCCCGAGGGGGGTGATCTTACTTCCGACTTCAAAGTCGAGAAAACCTCCTCCGTCTCTGGCCGGTGTGAACCAATGACGAGATACATATGCTTGATAACCGAGGGTAACCTTGAGCAGGTCAAGAAAGCCTGCAATTGGGACAAGAAATAGGTGGTGGTCCCGTCCCCTGAGGAAGATATCACTACCCACGTGAATGGGTTTCTAAGTGTTTACACTTACCCTTTCACGCTGGGCCCTGTCGACCCCGTCATCCTCGACTTCTGCCCCCAATACCAAATAACCCTAGGTTAGATCCACCCTTCCTTCTGGCGGATTGTCCTTCTGTTCCGGTGTTTTGCGAGCAAAAAGAAAGGGATGCCTTTCACCATCGATCATCTCATCAGACTGTACAAGCCTTATCTTTTCTGAGGTGGACTGATAAAGCTTCAGCATCGGGCTACCAAGGTGGTTCTCGAGCATAGACGAGGACAAGGATAGAGGGTGGATGGGTTGATTTGTCCGACTGAAGACTTCCAACCTAATTCCGCCCGAGAAGATGCCATTTCCCGAGAAGTAGAACATGAAGTGTAAGTTCGATCCTTCCTCTAGATTTTTATTTACCGTTTTGTTTCCTTTACTTCCTTTTACTAGCATCCTTTTTTGTGATGTAGCGGTTGCTTGGATGCCTGGCGATTCCGAATATCGAGAGTTAGGTTTGGACCCTAGCTTCGTCCTCCTTGTACGCTGAGCGCTCATGGCGCGATTTAGCAAGGGGCCGTTGGGAGGCCAAAAATCATGGTAAGCCTTTTCCTTTATGTATCTGATGACCGTAAAACGTTCCCCTCTTAAACTTACCTAACTTCCTTTTATGCAGGCCTCGATAAAGATGTTGTCAGGAGGCCCCCGTTCGGGGAGGAGGAGGTTTTACCCCCAGTCCCAAAGCCGTTGAAGGAGAAGAAAAAGAAAAGGGTCTCGCCCCCTGATACTCTGAAGCCTAAGAAGATCAAGGCTCGCAAGTCGAAGAAAGATACCACCACCCTTCCTGCTGATGTAGCTCAGCGACTAAAGGAGGAAGAAGAGGAAAAAGAAGACGCCGACATTGAGCTAGTAGCTCGAAAGAGGGGGAGCTCCAAAGCCCCAAAAGCAGTTGAGCCGGTGATGGTCGAGGAGGTTCAGCTTCGGACTGAGGAGATCTCAGAAGATGGTCCGAGCAAAGTCCCCGAGTCATCGGAGGCTGAAGATGTCTCCCGCCGTGATGAACAATCGGCGGATGTGCCCGAAGGGACCGGTTCTGAGGCCCTTCGAAAAGGAGAGAACGCCCCAAGTGTCTTGCTTGGGGCAATTGATATTGGTGATTCGCCACCCCTCCCCAAATTTTCTGAGGGGAAAATTCAGGAGGCCCAGGCTATGGAGACCCCCGATGTGGGGACGGCCCACGAAGGGGAGGACTTATTCCGTGGATGCTTCACGGGGGTCGAAGATGTTACCGACTTGGGCGACGCATCGAGTATCTTCGATGAGGCTCAATGACTTCTGAGCCAGGTAAGCTTTAGTTCCCTTCATTAATATTATGCTTGCGTTTATTTTTTCTTGCCTGACTTCCTTCTTTATTCGTAGGCCTTGACACTTCATCAGGAAGCATTTTCCAAATCTCGGTCGGAGCTGAGCCAGTGCGAGGCCGATCTCAAAAAGCTCACGGAGGAGAGAGATGCCCTCAAACTTCTCAGTGGGCAAAACGAAGAGGAGGTCAAGGACCTCCGAGCTGAATTGGCAACAACTCATAAGGGCAAACCGACCTGATTGAGCAGGTAATGTGAATTTTTGGAATCTTGATATATTATTTCGGGAGCGACAACTAACACTTCGATCCTGCAGGTTTAACAAAAGGCCGAAAAGATCGAGCAACTTCGCGAGGAGGCCAAGATGAAGGAGGCAGAGACTTTGGGGTGGAAGCAAAACATGGACCGCCTTGCCTCGGAGAAAGATATTGCTCGAGCCCAGCTGTCTTCGGCTGAACGTCAACTCCGAAGCATAAAGGAGGAAAGCTTGGCCCGAGCCAAGAAAATTAAGGAGCTCGAGGCTCGGTTGGTCGCTGAGCTTGCAAAGGCTACATCTGAGGCAAAAAGAGTAAAGGCTGAAGCTGAGGCGATCATGGTCGTCTATCGAGCTGATGCTGAAGCTACTCAACTTCGAGCAAAGGAGGTGGCTGACACCGCCTAGACTTGATCATAGTGGGTTGTCGAGCATGCCAAATACCAGTCTCGAAGAGAGACTCTCGAGGAGATTCATGCTCGTGGATTCGACCTTACTATCGATATCGAGAACGCGAAAGTACTCGAGGTCGTAGACAAAGCGTTGCTCTCTTCTGATGATGATGATTCCGGGAGATCAAGTGGATCAGAGAGTGGAGGGGATGAAGATGAGGCTCCCGATGAAGATTAGGCATTGAGGATTTTTTCCTTAGCCCCACGTTGGGCGCCAAACTGTTTACCCTAACAATTGGATAACAATTAGACTTATAATATGGTTTTAAGGACATGTGATTTCACCTAATACCAATTGATAAATGTAAAGATAAGTGATGGAAATTGATAATAATATAAAGTAAACCAGCATTTGGATAGAACCCTCGAGCTTGAATACCCTCGAGCTAGTTGTGCAAGAACAGTTAAAATGCAACAAGCTGATAAATAAGAGAGTGTGAATTAAAGAGAGAATATTGTATTGCTTTAATCTGTGTGTATGTAAGGTGTGTACAAGATGATTAGGACCCCATTTATATAGTAGAGGAATCCAATTTAATATGCAATTCTAACTATGGAAGTAAATCTCATGATTAACTAGAGAACCGCCCTTGATTTGATATGTTCCGAGATTTACGCCATGATCTCCGGCCAGTCACAGATATCTCGCATTTCCGTTATTACGCTTTTCTCGAAGTCTGTCACATTTGGTCTCGGTCGCTGTTGGGCCTCGATCTCAGTAGACACCTCGATCCTCGGACTCGATGCCTCGTCTTCGTGCTCTAGTCTGATTTATTACGAGGCTACCCCTCGATGCAGTTCCCTTGTCTCGATCAAATAGCATAATCGGGTGGGTCCGGTTTTAACCGTATACAGACAGTATGACTAATTCCGTTACTTTTTAGCTTGGATCACCACGTGGTGGAATGAAAAAAGTGTTGTTACTCTTACAGTTTTGAGTTCTGAGTCTTGAGAATAGATATGTCAGTGATTTAGCACGACAAAACACTCTCTTAACTTTTTGGTCTTATTATTTGTCAATAACAGAATACGCGTACACTAACTAGTTCAAGTCGTGGCGTGACAAGAAGCCTAAAACAATTCAGCATTGATGCCCGATTGAGTACATGGTTCTTCACTTTTTGCGATATGTTAATTTCATGTATGTATGCTTTTACATGTTAATTATTGCTTTCATCTTCTTTTCAGTACACTGACAGATAATTTGAAATTCTAGTCAATTAAATACCGATTCATTTGCCTAAAACTGTAGCAGTTGGTGCAATAAACTGATAAATGAGAATCTTGAATCTTGGAAAAGATGAGGCATTCTTCTTTGCAATTAATAAACTTACAAAAGGCTGCTTGACAACATCTCAAGATCAGGAAGTAAAAAACACCACTATTAATTTCCATTTATCATTGCAGAATCAGCACTCAATTGTTTATGATATTTGCTTAATTTGTCTCTAGTTAACAATCCATGATGACTAACAGAGAGCAAGTACTAGTGTCTCATTACAAGAAAATTGCATAGAGAACAAACTATCTTGTTATTGGTACTAAGTTTTCCATCCATGTATTACTCATTTAAGGATATTTTAAGAGTACTCTCTTATCACATCTCACTTGTGAGAGAAGCTGCAGTAGTATTATTTTCAGCAGAAATGTCCCAAAATCTATCTGAAAACAATCCAAAATGTTTCTCCAATTCAGGGTTCTTGTTATTCTCATCAAACATGGCAAATAAATAGGTCTCAACTCTATTAGGCCTTCTTGGACTACCCCTTTTAACATGCTGAATTAAGTTCTTGTAGTAAGTTGCTGCATTGTTTGTTGTCGCTGCAAATGCGCCAGCAGACGGCCAGCCACTCTCGGACACTGTTATCTCTATCGAGCCCCCTCCGGCTCGAGACAGGGCAGCATACACAGCATCCAACATTGCATCAAATAAGTTTCTATATCCAAGTGAACCATCTTGTACCACCACATTAGGTGCAGTGAAAAGAGCATAGGGGAGAAAAATATCGCGCGGATTACCAGCATAGCTAAAATAAGGATAAACATTTACGAGCAAAGGCGAATTTATGCCTCTTTAAAACCCAATAATCAGATCAATGAACGAACGAACGTCGTTCCTAAATGAACCCTGTGATGGTGGAAAAGAATTCCCAATCAAGGTTATGTCTACAGAAGTTGAGACTTTGATATTGTTTCGCAAACCAGCTGAAGAAATTGCATTCCGAATGTTCCTCATGGTCGGAAGAAGATATCGGGTAAGTGAAGATGTGCCTGTTACAGGGCTGACTTCATTTCCAACGGCAATATACCTGTCGAAGATATAATTAAATAAATAAAGCGTACACTCTTTAACAATTTAAACTTTTGGATAAAATGTTTATACACTTCAATATGGTATTAGAGCAGTCACATTTTCTGAATTTGAGACTTAACAACAACAACAAGCCCAATAAAATTCCACAAGTGGGATCTGGGGAGGGTGGGGTGTACGCAGACCTTACCCCTACCTAATAAAGGTAGGGAGACTGTTTTCGAAAGACTCTCGGCTCAAAAGAAATGCAAATGAAGCAATAAACAGATAGTAGCAATAACCAGGTAATTAGATATGGGCACAAATGAAGATACGTGCAAAAACAGATTTCTAAGAATACTACACAATAAAATAGATTCAGTCTTGCTAAAAATATTAATGACACAATATGAAATAGCAAGGGGCTAGGCATAGAAAAATACAAGATTAGTACTAATACTACTGGGATGCCTAGACGAAACTCTAGCTGCCTATCAACCCAGAACCCTAATCCTCCACCTCCACACCTTCCTATCGAGGGTCATGTCTTCGGTAAGATGAAGTAGCGCAATGTCCTGCCTAATCACCTCACCCCCAGTACTTAGCAACACCTATTATCAAAAAGAACTCCATGTGTTGGGATAAACTAGCCCAAGTACACTCTTAATATGGTGTGATATTGTCCGCTTTGGGCCAAGCCCGCACGGTTTTTCCCAAAAGGCCTACACCATTAAGAGATCTCTACACCTTATATGTAGACTCCCAATCTTTTCAGCTACCAATGTGGGACTTTGTTCGCACACCCAACAATCTCCCCCTCGAACTAAATTCCACGTGGTCCACTACCACGATCCACGGGTCAATTTTCGAGATTCACTGTGTGCCACCCACATTGTTAGAGTATTATGGCAACCGAAGCCCGCAACTAGCTTCTTCTTGTGTGTGCACCGCCCTGCACCATCACTCCGCCATCTCCATACTCGTTCCGTTGAACCTGGGCTCTGATACCAGTTGTTGGGCTAAACTAGCCCAAGTACACTCTTAATATGGTGTGATATCGTCCGCTTTGGAGTGTTAAAGATGGGCAACGCCAGTGAAGTTAAGGTGTTTGGTGTTGGCACAGTTTGTTTGAAAACTAATAATGGTTCAACGTTAGTTCTTCAAGATGTGAAGCATACTCCAGACTTTCCTTTCAATTTGATCTCCGCAGGAAGATTAGACGATGAAGGTTACCATAATGCTCTCTTTAACGGCCAATGGAAGCTCACCAAGGGCTCGTTAGTAGTGGCTCGAGGAGTCAAGTCTGGTCAATTATATGTGACACAAGGCTCTATTCTTAATGACTCAATAAATCTGGTAGAAAGTGATAGTTTGTCAGAATTGTGGCANCGGAGATAACCAGTCCATGCCCAAAATAACATCGAATTCCACCATACATAATAATAACAGATCCACTCGGGTCTCCAGACCCCCAATAGTCACAACACACGACCGGTACACACGGTCTACCACAACAGTATCGCCCACCGGCGTAGAAACATGAACAGAAGAAACAAGGGACTCACATGGCATATCCAGATAATGGGAAAAATAAGACGACACATAAGAGAAAGTAGATCAAGGGTCAAATAACACAGAAGCATCCCTGCGGCAGACTGAGATAATACCTGTAATCACCGCATCTGAAGCAATCGCATCGGGCCTTGCTGGAAGTGCATAGAAGCGAGCCTGGCCACCTCCGGATCGACCTCCCCCTCTGGGGCGACCCCTAGATGACTGTCCCTCACACCTAGCTGGCTGGGTGGGTGGTGAAGTGGCTGGGGCTGAGGCTGATGACTGACCCCTCTACTGAGAACGACGAGGGCACTGCCTCTACAAGTGGCCCATCTCTCTACACTCATAACAACTCCCGGGTGCTGGAGACGGGGACTGGTGGGAACCCCTAGCACCGGTATGACTAGCAGACGCCCCTGGCGTAAAAGAATCCTGAACCGATGGAGCACGGGAAGAACCCTGGGCTGGAAGTGCACTAAGTGAAGAATGGCCCTGTTGAGAACCGTGAGAACTGTGGCCTGAAGATGCCCCACGATAACCTGGGCGAGCTGACAGACCATGTCGGAACTGTTGGCCTCTGCCGTGCTGAAACTGGCCCCTAGAAGGAGCACCCCCAAAACTGCCATGTCCTAGAGGCCACGTAGCCTCTCTCTCCTCGCGCTCCTGGCGACGAACTAACTCAATCTCTCGAGCAATATCCACAACCTCATCGAATGTAGCACCTGACACCCTCTCCCTGGTCATGAGAACCCGAAGCTGGTAGGTGTGACGACCCAAAGGGTCATCACCTGTTTTCTCTTTCATTCCGTGCTTCCGAGGCTTTGAACACCTCACTTTTACTTGCCTCGATTTGCATGCGCAGTCCGGGCGTGTAGCCGGAAAGCTTAAATATGAATTCTGTGTAAAAATTGATGAATTTGGATATTAATATGATTAAAGTTGACTTTGGTCAACATTTTGGGTAAACGGACCCGGCCCCATGATTTGACGGTCCCAGAGGGTGCGTAGAAAAATATGGGACTTGGGCGTATGCCCAGAATCAAAATTCAAGGTCCCGAGCCCGAGAAATAAATTTTTTTGAGAAATTATTTTTCTGAAATTAATATGGAAATTTGAAATGAAAATGGATTATATAGTGTTGGTATCGTGCCCGTATTTTGGTTTCGGCGCCCGGTACAGGTCTTATATGTGGTTTAAGCGCTTTCTGTGAAATTTGGTCGAAATCGGAGGTCGTTTGACGTGTTTCGGACTTAAAGTTCTAAAGTTGAAAGTTTAAGAAGTTTGAAGAAAAAGTGATGATTTTGAGGTTTGATTCCTCGTTTTTGATGTTATTTTGGCGATTTGAACGCACGGTTAAGTTCGTAGTATGTTGTTGAGTTAGTGTGTGTGATTGGTTAGGAGCCCCGAGGGCTCGGGAGTGATTTCGGAGGTGTTCGGGGTAGTTTTGGAGTTAGGAAAAATTGCAGAAAATCTGTTGTTGGTGCATAGTAATTCCCTTCTTCGCGTTCGCACTCACCCTATCGCTTTCGGGTAGCCTTGAGCTTTTCCCTCCTTCGCGTTCGCGCGATGCTTTGCTGTCTCCTCCATCGCGTTCGCATCTCCTGATACGCGTTCGCGTAGGCCAACCTTGGACCCCCATTAATTTTACTCTTCGCGTTCGCAGCCCTCCCACGCAAACGCGATGCTTCCAGTTCCCCCTATTTCACGAACGCGACCCCTATGTTGCGAACGCATAGAACAAATTCGTTCAGCGATTTTTTTTAAGTTTTCAGAAACAGTACATACGGGTTTTAGTCCAAAATTTTCACGAGCTCTCTTCTTCCCCAAGCTCTAGGAGTCCATTAAAGCCCCCATTCTTCAAGACCATTTGGGTTAGTAATTTTCCACCTATTTCCTTCATTTTCTCTCATTAATCAGTGAATTCCTAAGCTTAAATCACATAGATTAGGGTGGAAATTGGGGGAAATGGGTAGAGTTAGGGCTTTTCGATTTTCTTTGATTTTGACCTCGTTTTGGGGTCAAATTTGAAAACAAATTGTATATTCGGGCTCGTGGGGGAATGGGTGATATGGAATTGGTTCGAACCTCGTGTTTTGACCAAGCAGGCCCGCGGTCGATTTTGGAATTTTCGGAAGAAAGGTTGGGAATCTATATTTAGGCATTGGGTTTGATTTGTTTAGCTATATTGATATTATAAAGTCGTTNACTGCAGATTTGAAGCTGTGCTTTGGTAATGGCAAGCCTGAACTTGTTTGTTGCACAGACTCTGATTTAGGAGGCAATCTTGATAATTCAAGATCGACTTCTGGTTATTTGATCACCTTTGCAAGGGGAACTGTTTCTTGGAAATCTAGACTACAGAAGTGCATAGCTCTATCCACCACAGAAGCCGAATATATTGCTGTCACAGAAGGTGCCAAAGAACTATTATGGATGAAGGAGTTTATTAATGATCTTGGCTTTGAGCATCCAAGGTACATCTTATTTTGTGATAATCAGAGTGCTATCTGTCTCACCAAGCACTCCACTTTTCATTCTAAGACCAAACATATAAATAGAAAGTATCATTGGATAAGAATGGCCGTGGAAGAGAAATTATTTGAGGTTAAGAAGATACACACTGATGAAAATCCTTCGGATATGCTGACAAAGGCGGTGGTTGCAGATAAACATGAATTTTGTAGAAAATTGGCAGGCATGAAGCCTGTCAATAGTTCCTCTACTTGAAGACACATTTGGCCCCTTGGCTGGAGGGGGAGTTTGTTGGGCACATGCCCATGTTGTCCAGCCAAAGGCCCAATGGCCTAATCCTATTCTCTTTTGGTTTCCAATCCTATTTGGAATTGGATTCGGTTTATTCCTATTTTGAGTGGGTTTTGGCTTTAAGAGAAAACACCACTCATGATCTATAAATAGGACAACCTTGGAGAATTATTCTATGCTCATTGATACAAGTCTTTGAAAGACTTAAGCACATAAGAGTGGGTTTTGAGAGAGCTTTCATCAAGAGAGAAGAGAGAAAAAAAGTATTTGTTTTGCTGCAGATTTTTATTCCGACCAGCCAACTTCAACTCACGTTTTCCAATTCGTTAACCGTTGGATCGGGCTGAAATTTTGACTGAGTATTTGTAATATCTTAGTCTTGGATTTGAACGGTGGAGATCAGATTTGGAGGCTTGTAGCATCTGATTTCGAGCCTCGAACAGCAGCTTCATTTTGTGGATCATACTCTTTCTTCAATTGATTAGTTGTTGCTCTTGTTGCTATTGTTGCTCCGTGTTTGGCCCTTGTTATGTAGCCAATTTGGAGAACTTTTGTAACCCTCTTATTGTTATAGTGGAGCTTTTTGGATCTTTGTGATCCCGTGGTTTTTACCTTCGATTTGAAGGGTTTTCCACGTTAAAATTTGGTGTTCTTTATCTTCTTTATTTTCGGGTTTGCCTCTTCCTCGACATATTGTTGGGCTAAACTAGCCCAAGTACACTCTTAATATGGTGTGATATTGTCCGCTTTGGGCCAAGCCCGCACGGTTTTTCCCAAAAGGCCTCACACCATTAAGAGATCTCTACACCTTATATGTAGACTCCAATCTTTTCAGCTACCAATGTGGGACTTTGTTCGCACACCCAACAATCTCCCCCTCGAACTAAGTTCCACGTGGTCCACTACCACGATCCACGGGTCAATTTTCGAGATTCACTGTGTGCCACCCACATTGTTAGAGTATTATGGCAACCGAAGCCCGCAACTAGCTTCTTCTTGTGTGTGCACCGCCTTGCACCATCACTCCGCCATCTCCATACTCGTTCCGCTGAACCTGGACTCTGATATAATGAATTGTTGGGTGTACGAACAAAGTCCCACATTGGTAGCTGAAAAGATTGGGAGTCTACATATAAGGTGTAGAGATCTCTTAATGGTGTGAGGCCTTTTGGGAAAAACCGTGCGGGCTTGGCCCAAAGCGGACAATATCACACCATATTAAGGTGTACTTGGGCTAGTTTAGTCCAACACCATGTACTTGACTAGTGAAAAAGAATTAAGCCGTACGTAAGGAGCATGTTGAAGACATAATTAAATAAATAAAATATAATCTCTATAATAACTTTACCTTTTAGGCGAGATAGTCACAAAAATTGCCAATACCTAAATTTAACGGCTGGCCAGAAATTTCTGACATTCCTCTGTACCCAATTATTTGCATTTGAAGGGTTAGCAGCAATTTTGGAGATCTGAATTGGGAACTCCTACCATAACTTCAATGTTGGAGCCTCTTAAAGCTTGTAGAGCTGCTTGATTTGGATCATAAGGTCTCATTCTTCTTATGTTTCTTGACTTGTAGAGTTGTACAACATGTGATGCTGGTGGCAAGTTGTTGCCTAGCATTCCATAGCAAACACCTACTGATTGAGCCCCTTCTCCATAAGAATAAAAAATAGTGTTACATATTATAATTAGTTATGGAATTATTGCAAAGTAAAAATAGCCGGGATAAAGGTTAAAATACCTTTCTGCTTTATGAAATGTCTTAATTTTACTTGAGGTTATTCATATTTTTTGCGTTACCAAATCATCTTGTATTTATCCTTGAGATTAACTGATCTCTAGCGTAAGAATAATAGAGGATAGTTTTAAACAATAGTCAAAAGTAGAGATGTAAATTTGGACTTTTTTTTGTTAATATTTTGACATGTGAAACCCACCCGGTCCATACTCGAGCTCAATTAAGTCCAAGGACAAGTACGAAATAATTTGTTAATGACTAATATATAAACGAACCAAAATATAATGAACGATAAAATTAAAATAGTTTTGGATATTTCCCTTAAAAAAGACTTGGTAAGTCCCTCCTCAAATTGGAAAAGCTAGTGGTTCTAATAGGAAAAACCACACGAGTTTTACCCGAAAAATAGCAAATAACCACACTAAAATGAATAATTTGCAAGTTAATTTTGGAAAAATACACAAATTGGAGACGAAAAATAAGGAAATAGCTATCATCAAAATGGCTAATGTATATTTTGCAAACACAAAATATAAGACTATTATTGACTTTGAAATTCAAAAGTTTAGACTTTCTTTTACATTTTTTGTTGAGAGGGAGTGGCATACCTACTATCTCAGTGCTGGCAACAAGTAATCCTAGCAGTATAATAGCAGCCGTTTGGAGAGTAATATGTTTATGTAAAGTAGCCATCAAGAAAAGGCTTGTGTTAGAACCTAATTAAAATGAAGTTTTCACATAACATCTCATTTATATAGACATAGCCTTAAGCCTTTATAAAAATATTCAAGTGGTGAATTAAATTGAGACGCCAAGAATTTCATTTAAAAAAAATATATATTTTGCTTGTTCTCATTTTTCAAAGATCATTAATTTTAAGCTAATCATTAGATGACACATTTACGATGATAAGAAATGTGCAATTTTTCGTTATTATTATTACTATTATTTTGTAAGTTAAGAACCGCCAGGTTGACGTGTTTTGTTATAATGTCCATAGAGTACTAACTTAATTTCTTGGTCAACTTCATTTTGTAGAAAAAGAAGATGAGTTTGATGATGTAGAAGATTAATATTTTCTCTAAATTAAGGTGACTTGCCAAATGCCTGCATTGACTTTAATATAAGATATAGCTAGTTATGTGAACACCTAATTTTTGTACTATTTTAACATCTCCTACATTCATTAGTGTTTTATTATTTCAATTATTTTTATTAATTTTGTGTCTTTAATTCCATATTTTCTATCATAAAAATACCAAAAAGAAAAATAGTTCTTCCTTCATTTGCGCATTTTAGGAATTAACTAACGATTCAATTAGTGAATTAATCTAGTTAATTGGTCATTTGAATAAGTTGTTTAATTAATTTATTTATTTGTGTAAGTTTAGTTTAATAAGTAGGATTAAGGAAGAAATTGGGCCAAATTTTAAAAAGAAAGTGGCCAAGAGTGCAAGACAGGGGCTGCTATGGGAGGATTTAAAACGACGTAGTTTCAAGAGAAAACTACGTTGTTTTGGTTAAGTAAATAAAAATTCATCATGGCCATTCATTCCATCTTAATCTAATGGTCTAAATTTGTCCTCAACTAAAATATAAAAGACCAAAAATCAGATTTTTGGCCTCATTTACACCCAACCGAACCCTAGACCTCTTCACTTCTCTCCCTCTCTTATATGCCGCCGCCGCCACCTTCTCCATGGTGGCTCCGCCGGCCGGAAATCGCCACCGCCGGCGGACCTCGTCCAAAGCCCATAAAACCTACACCAATCTCTTCCTCTCTTTACCCTCTCTCCTAATCCGAGCCCCAAATCCTCAAAAACCCCTCTAAATTCCGTGCAACCGAAACCCTAGATAGCCGCCTCTTACTTCCCTCTTCGATTTCACGGCAAATCCGACCACCCTACCACACAAACTTTACATAAACATGTAGATCTCCAGGAGATCTAGACTTTCCCTCTAGTTTTACCTCCGAAACCCGACCACCACCGTCGACCACCCCACTGCCCGCCGTCACTGCTTCTCCATCTTCGTTTCTTTCGACCCAAAAACCCTCTTTTCCTTCCGGCATAATGCTGGAATCCCTTTGTTTTAGCATTTGCCGAAGTGAAATGAGTGTTTCAGGGTCGGGCAGCTACTCCTTCACATCTCTGGTGTCTTCTCGTGGCTCGAACAGTTCAAGCACGATCGATTGGTATAAGCGTCATCCCTTTAATTAATTTCTGATCTTTTAATAGTAGTAGGTTAATTTCTGTTTTTTTATTTTTATTTTTTTCTGTTTTAGTTTGTTGTTTGTTAATTAGAGTTTAGGTTTATTATAACTATCTATCTTAGTTTTTTATCAGATTGTTATTAACCAAGCTAATCTTTAGTGTTGTCGAATCAGTGTTCATCTAGCAAGTTGTTTCGTCCATGTTATCTTTCGTCGACGATTCAATAATGTTTGTTTAACTTCTGCTTCATATAATAGATTGTAGTATTAGTCGCTTTATCTTAACTTGCGTAGGTTGAGCCGATTTGATCTAGTTCATTTGAATCCTCATTCTAGTTGCAATCTAAGTGTGTATGCTTTAGCAGTTCAATTGGTGAATGTTAGTTGCTTGTTGTCACGACCCTAAACTCAAACCCGATCGTGATGGCGCCTCTCGCAAAGACAAGGCCAGCCGACACACTTTCAATTCACTTTAAGCAGTTAAAATAATGAAACCAAGGTCTTTGATATAAATAAATCCCAAAAATAACAATATAAGTTGCGAAAATAAAATAAACCAACACAGCCCAACATCGGGGTGTCACCAGTCATGAGCATCTAAAACAACACTAAAAGTCTAGAGTCTAATCCACTACTACATAACTGAATCAAAAGAAAACTGAAATAGAGGGAGAATGCACTGGGCTGCGAATCGCCAAACAGCTACCTTGTAAATCTCCGAAGACCTGCTGCAACTATCAACCCTCAGGAGCAGGACCTGTAGCGCCCGAATCTGCACACAGGGGTGCAGGGAGTAAAGTGAGTACTCCAACTCAGTGAGAAATAAAAATAAATGAAGACTGAGTGATATAAAACCACGTAAGGCACAACATTAAGCTATCAGAGGCATAACAAATCAGCAAATATAATTAAACAATGAAATTTTCATAAACATCTCTTAAACAGTTAAATTATATACAGGAAAACAACTAAAACGTAAACACATAGTAACTGCCCCTCGGGCACAGTAACAACAGAATCAGCCCCTCGGGCAATGTCACAGAACAATACCAGCCCCTCGGGCTATATCTCAAATCACAATGGGTACCCGCGCTCACTGGGGGTGTACAGACTCCGGGAGGGGCCCCTTACGGCCCAAGCGCAATATCAAGCCATCTCGCGGCATCATAAACAGGCTCTCGGACTTATATAAATCTTAAGCCACCTCGTGGCGTACAATCTCAGGCCCTCGGCCTCATTATTATAATTAATGTATCACTGCTGCGGCGTGCAGCCTGACCCAAATGTATCCTCACAACACAGGCCCTTGGCCTTACTCAGTCAAAATCTCATAAGCCCCTCGGGCCACAGTAAAATATGAAGCTCAGCTCAAATACCTTTGAAAATATCATTTAATGTGTTTAAAACAGAATAATACAGCCGAGTCTTTATAATAGTAAAATATAGATGACTGAGCACCAGTATGAAATCAATCAGTGAGGAAAATTTCATTTAAAAATCCCCTAAGGGCTCAAACGGCTGGCACGAAGCCCACATATGGCATTTAGCCCAAAACATAATAATGTTAAACAATTAACTATCAAATACGCAGTAAAATAATCATTCGGGATGGACGAAGTCACAATCCCCAACGGTGCCCTACCCCACGCTCGTCATCTAGCGTGTAAGTCACCTCAACATAGCCGTACGCTGTGAAATTCTGGGGTTTCACACCCTCAAGACAGCATTTAAAATCATTACTCACCTCAATCCGGCCTGAAATCTAGCTTGCAATGTGTTTGCCCTTCGAAACGACTTTCGAGTGCTCCAAATCTACCAAGTTCAGATTTTTATCATTAAATTATGCTAAACTAATAAATTCCAATTGAAAAATATCGATTTTAAGCACAAAACCCGAAATCGGCCAAAACCCAACCCCCGGGCCACGTCTCGGAACTGGACAAACTTTATACCAAAATATTCTTCATCATCTCACAAGTCCATACATATAAAGAACTCGAAAATCGGAGTTTGTTTGACCCCTCAAATCATCCCTAGAAGGTCTCTTAATCTCAAGCTCTAACTCCACCTTTTTCTACTGATTTTCATGAATTACACTGATATTTTTGTTCCTTAATCACAAATAATCAGTTTTAGGGTCCAAAATCCTTACCTCAATGAAGAACAATGATTTCCTCTCTTCAAAATTCCAAACTTCCAAATTCATCTCTCTCTTTTTT